GTTTTATCCGTGATTTTTTAACTTCTTTCAATAAACGAGTCACAGAAGAACGATGAACCTGTAAGATTCCTAATAACGTAGGCCTAGTAGCTGCCGATTTTCTGAAATGCTACGGGTAACGCACATCACTACCCAACAAAAAGCCAGGAAAGCGTCCCAATGAGCATCACATTTCTGAATGACATCAGAAAAAACAAAATTGAGGGTAAGGAGTTCAAACAACTGGTATACAGCGTAACACAAAGCGTTGTTTAACACATCCACCAAGAACAGAAAAATCTATATTTGAACATAATTCACCATCTTTAAAGGAAGTCCTCTGAAACTTCGGACTTGGGATACGAATCATTTTAAGAGTAATGCTCTGATGATCAAGTCTCTCAGTCCGAGTGGATTCCTTGCAATATTCCAGAACATCATGAAGTGCAAGTTAAGACAATGGTCAACTAAAATGTAATATTACTAGTACTATGCAAATTAGCATCTCTTCCCTCCACCAGGATTCAAAACGTTAACATAAAAGTGAACACATGTAAGAGACTTACCGTTGCTTTAAAAACTTTGTCCAAGTTAATATCTTTGTTCTTCCATATTCTTAAAACCTTTAAGAGAAGCATCATTTTTTAAGCACAGTAAAATGGTAATATATAGACTTCTCATCACACAGAATACTAGCAATTGCACGTCACTGAGACACAGGAGAAGATAGAGGAAGTATTCACGGTAACCTTAGTGGAAAATGACTCAGGGGAAGTTTGCATGGGAAGAAGCTGAAGCAGAGACAACAGGAATACAAACCAAGCTCAGAAATCTTGAATTGGAAAGAAAGGACAGGAAAGAGTAAGGTTAAGGAAAAGGATACAGCAGAATTCTAAAGGAAAGTAGATTAAAGCGATGGAGACAGATTAAGATACAGATGACCTGATCTGGAAGAGAACGTTTCAAGGAGAACAATGAAGGGTCAGGGAAGATATTTCATCAACAACAATTAAAAAAAGCCAAAGGTGCAGCACGTGCTGAGCAAACGCTACATGTACACAAACAGGAAACGTTTAACTGTAAAATATGAGCAGAAGAACAAGGATGCAGGTACGAACTATTTTAACCATTTCAGTACAATAATCATGCAGTTCTAAATGTCAACCAGCCTGCAACAAGAGAATTAACTTATCCTCAGAGAACGTATGCATGAGGTATTCTTCACTGAGAATGCTTCAGTTTTTAAAAGGCCACTGCATAACTGGTGCTCAGCACCGACGATCTTCACGTCACTAAGAAAAGAACACGCTGTGCAGCCGTAGAACAGCACACCCCTGTCCTCTCAAAGAGCAGAGACGACCTGAACTGCAGGAGGGTGCCGAGAGCTCCGTGCATCTACATTTAGCCAGAAATCTAGCACCGCCGATTTCTTCCCTATCTACATTCACTCAGAAGACTCACTACACCTTTTTTCCTTTACGAAAAGATAAAGGATCTCACCTTGTCATCGTGAACAGCTATATATTCATGAGTTTCAAAGTTGCATACAACTGGACACGTGATAATCTGCCCATGTTTAACTGACCAACACCCTAGTGGCTTCTGATCTGAAACCTACAAGAGTCAGAAGAAAGACATTGTAGTTAAAATATAACGTGGTACGCTTTGGGGATTCTTCTCATGACAGAAAGGAAATGCAAGGTAGCCACATCTGATTTGAGTGAGAATACTAAAATGTGGAAACTTCTATACTCAGAACTTCTGCTCGAGCATTCCCGTTCCTGACTTTAATACTAAAAATTTCAGAGTACCATGAGAGAACCCTACATTAATTAGAAATTATTTCTTTTTGCATAAGAAATAACTCTGACCTGTACTAGTCAGATGGGCTGACGCCATGAAGCACAGGTATGATGCATGGCTTTTCCAAAGTGAAGGTATTACTTTCAATCACTAGTGTAAGTTACTTTTACTCACTAACACAATCATGCACAGAACCACGCTTTTTCTCTTCCTATTTCAGTGTAAGTTATTGAGACCAAGAGCAATGAATTTTACTCTCTAAACTCACGTTACGTACAGTTTACATCTGGCTGCTCTGAGGGTACTCAACCCCCTCTCCTCAGTCTAGGTCTACATCGGGCATATTTACCAACATATTTACGTTCTCGCCTATGGTCTCAGCAGTGGGACTAAACAACCCAAAGGAGGTTCTATCAGGAATCCACTAAGATACAATCCCTAGCCCCATGAATATGAAAGCCAACTTAAAAATATAAACCCAAATATTTTCCTGAAGTTTCTTATTATGGTCTACTGAAATATACACATACATTAAAAAATACCAGAAAATACTTTTCGTTTCAAGTGCTGCAAACTAAATCTCTCCTCCTCCAGCCAACAGGAAGGCAGCTGACACAAAAGGGACAGCCGGACAAAACGCTCACGTCACCCTGGCTACTGTAAGGAAACGTTACGTACCCTGCCGCGTCGGGATGGAAGCGTTTCTTGGAACGGGGCATGGAGAGAGGGAAAATCAGCACGAGGAGAAATAAGCGAGCAACCGCCTAAGTCGACACCCGCTCCGCCGGCAGGCA